ACAATTTCTTTGTACCCTGCTCCTCCTTTCTCTCATTCTCTTCCAGTCATCTCTCATGTTTAAAGATTTGCAATTGTAACTATGAACTAAACACATCTTGTCTTTTCATAACTTGCAATAATCTCACCTTCTACATTTCAGAAGCCATGATCTGAGAGTAGATGATTGAGCTATGTACACGATGTTGTTGATTGACGATGTCAATCCTTCGCATCTCACCGATCTGCATAATAACGATCTGGTTGCGAGAAGCATTATTGGATGCGCGCGCGACCCAGTAGTGCATCGCGCTACAAAGAATGACTTAATCTGGGACAGTGCTTTTGAACAATCCCCTCAAATGTTATTATTTTACTCCTCAGTTATTATTATTAGCTATAATATACGCCTTTTCATTTTCAAACAAAAAAGAATATGAAACACTAATACAAACTACAAAGTTACTAAGTATAAATCAGCTGACCGGTGCTCAAAATTAAATATATAATGCCTACTGGTGAGACCAGCAGGCATAATGCCGATCTGAGGAATTAGGCCTCGCCCGCGAGGTAAGGGCTAATTCCTCCGTAGGAATTAGGCCTCGCTCAGGCGTGGCTTTTCAGTTATTTGTATATGTAAATATACGTTTCAGCACTGTGCGACGAGGTCTACATGTTAACTTTATAAGTAGACCCCCGCGCCAAATGTAGGCCTAATTCTGCGTTAGGCCTAACTACATTTTGGTGACAGTAAGGCTATATTATATTTATGTTCATAATCACCGAATAGAGATTAGGCGGAATGACAGGCTGAGCGCCGCCCAGTAACGAAATCAGAAATGCACCACTGGGCCTCGCCGAGATGTGAAGGATTGACATCGTGAATTAACTTTAGGGCATTTTCACATTTTCACGTGACCTCAGTGCTGATCAGACAAATATTACGTATTTCATATTTATTTATTTTCAAACATTATTTCATATTCATATCATACCGATAATGGATAGCCTAATATAATTTTTTTTGGAAAAGGGAGACACTGGCCACGGTACACTTTATATAACCCAACTTTTGGTTTTGTACAATCCTCATATTTTAGTTAACGGTTTTTTTGTTCTACTATGATCAAATTCTGTTTTAATCCTTTGGCTGGAATGTTGGTAAAATTTCCACTTGAGTAGCTGAATTCTTCCTGGTATCCTATTTTTGGCATTGCAATTACTTTTACTAACAGTTCCAAAAATAGAATTTATAATAATTGCAAAAATGATAATATTCACGTAGGTAACCTTTTAATTTTGATACGGTCTACAGCTAACGGCACACGAGAAATTCTATGGCTAAAGTTACAAAATATTGTGAGGATATTGATAAATGAAGTTACATCTGATAAATTCATCACTACACAATATAATTTACAACCCTTTGTTGACGTATTGGAGCGATTTATGCTTTTAAAAGGGGTCTGAGGCTCAAACCCAATCAACTGGGTTCTGGCCTGGTCAGCTCCCTGTTACCTGATCTTGAGGTGACGTACGACACCTCGTTAGCCCAATCAATGTCTGGAAGGCTGCAAGTTTTAACATGCCCAGCACTTTACTTAAGATTCTTAAGTGTTAAGGAGTTGTGCGAGATGACGCGGCGCTACTACATACTAATTCACTCGCCATCAATTTCACGAAAAGAGCGATATTTGACTTTCGCATTGGATATAAAGATGACCAATGATATTGCAGTGTTTAAGTCACGTGCGCGTGATATAGCGCGCTGGCGTGTGATTGAGATCAGATACAAACTTTTGTTCCTTCCTCTTTTTCACCTGCTCTCTGCATTATGCCTTCTGATAAACCTATCGCTTGCAGTTTGTTGAATATCTCTGTCATCTGTCATTTGCCTTAAATTGATAACCTTCTCTTAAGCTTTTTTATGGTTGATGACGATTCACGATACATATAGACTATTTGAGTATTATAAATATATAGAGGCCGCAGAATTATGAAGACTACCAGATCCTGGCGGAACCTAAGCGATCACGACAGGCCCTACTTGAGTATGCTGTGTTCTCAACTTTCGCTTTGAGTTTGATTTATACTTTTCTAGTTCACGACGGTAACACGACATCTGTCCGACAGCGACAACACTATTTTCTTGTGTTTGAAGTGATATCACAAATTTGGCACATAGAAATTCACCCAAACTTGCACAACTTATTTGTCTTAAAGCTATCTTACTATCTAGAAAGTTTCAGGAAAATCGTATCGTTGGATCTCCAGATATATGCCTTGGAACCACTGCAAACCACCGAATTGGAGATATTTTTTGTGTTTAAGGTGATATCTCAAATTTGGCACATAGAAACTCGCTCAAACTTACACAGATTATCCGTCCTATAACCACCATACTTTATGGAAAGTTTCAAGAAAATCGTACGGTAGGATCCGACATAAACTATTGTCCGAATAGCCTATTTTCTGAGTCGGACAGATATCGCTGTCGGACAGATGTCGCCCAATCGTTCACGACAATTGCGGCGCAATCCATAAACAATAAATTTCGCTTATCATTTCTCGAGGGCAAATTCCTAAAATTTAAAACGTTTAAAGTATTTATAACTATAAGCCTTCCCAACTCACTAAAAGTTAGGACACTCAAATAAATATGCCCTTAAATCTATTTATAAACTTTTGTGGCTGCCAAATCCGCTTCTTTGTAGCTTTACATCGGCATTTAAACCAACATATCGTATTCCGATTCGTCGGACCCTCTTTCTCTGAACTTAGCTGTGCACAAATTTTGGAAATTTAGCTTAACGTTTAAACAATTTTAGTTAAAAGATAGTTCTGGTTTTGGCAATGTTAACTGATTTTAACCCAAAATAACAGGGTGCCGTGAAATATGAATTGACCAGCATTTGCGTGCAAACCAGCAGTCGGTGATGATCTGAGGAACAAAACGCGGCAGTACCGAAGATGAGGCCATAAAATACTCTTTGAGCTGTATCCAGCTCCCGACACACTAATATTATGCAAATTAGCACAAACTCGTTATGAGCCTCAAATATGCTAATTTGCGTCAATGAGCATGCGGTTTCCGGAGGATTTGACCTCACATTTTCTCAATGAATGGTGTTTCGTACCACCATTCGTTATCTCTGTTGTCGTGAACCTCCGGACAGTCAAATTCCGCAATCCCACTTGAAAACAATCAATCACCAGTACACGGAGATCTGACATGCTAGCAGCAGAGTGACATCTGAATTCCGGGGCTGGCATGTCTCGCGTGCCCCTCCATTTTGTAAGTGTGTCGTCGGACATTACTGACCGTGTCAAACGCTCTAACAGTACGGCATCGCACCCGAGATTATACTTTCTCGCTTTTAATAATGTGTTGTTTATCGTATACTCTTGTTAAGATGCCTATACTTTCAAACTGACAATAATCTGCAACTCTTTGTTCGCTCCCTACCAGATAACAGTCTTAATATGCCTATCCTTCGTACCAGAATCAACTTCCTGAAAGCCGTCGACCCCAATGCAGCCAAGCCACCGCCCAAGAAAAAGGAAGAAGTAGAACAGCTCCCAGTTCACAAGATTGCTCTTCTTTTGCCCCTCGTCGTCATTTTAGTCGGTAAATATATCCCACTCACATGCTGATCAGATTGACGCTTTTAGTTTTATGTCTCTTCATTCTCTTTCGGGCATGCTGTCATTAATTACTAATTCTGATTTCTCTCAGGCGGTGCTTTGGTCGCTCTGTCGTTCTTATATCCCGAAACTTTCGAAGCAGGCTTGATAGCAGGTGTTTGCTTGTTATTCTACGGTATTACCGGATTCCTTCACCTAGCTTCAGTGATACTTCACCAGGGAACCTGGTTAAATGAGGTTAAACCTCAGAAACACAAGTGCTCGTGCGGGGCTGAGGATTTTTAGAATTTTAGAAGTAAAATTTAAAAGTGCTAATAGAAGCCTATAAAATATTACCAGGCTTTGGTTTCGGCAATCAGTTTTGAAGTTATAAGTGTGATTTTTATGATTGTGTTATTGATTTGTAATTGATAATGATAGTTTTATTAAGCATATACATTATCTTTTATTGACAAGGGGTCGTTCACATATTATATAATCACTTTTTGCCCAATTTTTAACCCCCCCCCCCCTTCCCCATCCATAATCAGTTTTACACATGGCTATTGTGTTAGAATTAAACAAGTATAATCATTTATAAACCCCCTCCCTATCCACCCTCTGTCAGTCAGTGATTACGTAATATGTGAACGACCCCTAAGTAATAATAGTAATATTATGTATTGTAATTATTTGGATAAGTTTATTTATTGAGGAGACGTGTAAAGTCCGTAAGCTTGCTCATCAGAAAGACTGTAACATTCGTACATTATCAGGATTTACGTATTTCCAATACATACTATAAAAATGTGAACTAATTTTTGAGCAGTCGAGTGCGTCGTATTTTCATGAAATTGAATAGCCAAAACCTAATTTTGTTGACCTTCAACCTTGTCAGTTGTCTTTATCTAAGAGCTGAAGTCTTTACCTAAAGACTAACGACCCGGTAAGTCTCTGGAAATGTTTTAACTCTTTTCCTGTGACGACAAATTTATTTAGTGTTATTTAGTTAAACAATGACAGTAGTAGAAAGAATAGGCCTTGTTGTTGACAACGTACATTGGATCTTAAAGCTTCGTTTCAACGTGAAAGTTCAATTAATAGAACCAACAAAAGTTGCACTTAATACTTGATATTACATACAGTTTTGAGTTCATTTATACCAGTCAAGATCCTAAGCCCTGGACCTACACTCTACAGTGTAGGTCCAGGGCATGGTCAGATGTAAGCTGTATAGACCAAGGGATCTATAACTTTCTATAATCAGTTGTTGATAATTGATGTCTTGAACCCAAATATTCAGTGAGATCATCAAGCTCAGTACAATTATGGAATGTCATGGAATGATAATTCAAATGTTTTATATTGTCTGAACAAAAGAATAAAAACACACTTATTATCTCATATGCTACTCAGCTACTGTCAAATCAATATACACATGCACTGTACAGTGTACACCAGCAATCGTTATCAGTACGATAATTGATATTCGGTGAATTTCTTTACAAGTCTAAAAACTCAATTTCCTGTATATATTAAATGTTTATGATAAATAAACTTAACATTTTAAAAAGCTCATTTTGGTAAGTTTTTGTTTAATTTCTACTTATTATTTGGTGAAAATTCGAAATTTACATCGAGTATGTGACGAATATCTACATTCGTATAATCACCCATAATTAGGTAACTAATCTGCTAATCAGTTAATTAGCATTACTATCAGCTGAATTAATGCTAATTTGTTTAAAAGTATATAGAATGCTAATTGCTAAATGAGTACCATAAGCGGTATTAGCGTTAAACTTAAAATAAACTGTAGATCTGTAAAATGTGAATAAGTCATAGCTTCTCAAGTTCATTAACTCTCTGTCCACATATGAAAGGTTCTGAAACTACTAAATTATAGTAGAATATTGACAAACAGAGTCCAAATAATATCAAAGTTGAGTTTATCCAGCGAATGTCTATATAGACTGGTTCAAAGCGTTAACCGTTGTCGCTCCGTAAGTTCTTCCATATTTAAACTTCATCGCTGAAAATAAAGTGCTTTGTAAAGACTATCAAGACTATGAGGATTATAATGAAGACTGTAAAGCAGGGGTGTAGGAAGAGGGGAGGGGGGGGGCTAACGGCGAAATGTTTGCCATTAATACCAATCTGCTAATAGAATTTAGACAAGATGCAGCTTTCGGCGGACTTTTTACAGGCAATGTTTCGCTATAAAGACTATAAAGACTATAAAGACTATAAAGACTATAAAGACTATAAAGACTATAAAGACTATAAAGACTATAATGACTATAAAGACTATAAAGACTATAAAGACTATAAAGACTATAAAGACTATAAAGACTATAAAGACTATAAAGACTATAAAGACTATAAAGACTATAAAGACTATAAAGACTATAAAGACTATAAAGACTATAAAGACTATAAAGACTATAAAGACTATAAAGACTATAAAGACTATAAAGACTATAAAGACTATAAAGACTATAAAGACTATAAAGACTATAAAGACTATTATAAGACTATAAAGACTATAAAGACTATAAAGACTATAAAGACTATAAAGACTATAAAGACTATTATAAGACTAACATGGCACGTGACCAGTGTAGTTGGGAATGAGCCCTGATTTTCTGGCATATATTGCTCCAGGAGGCGCTGTTTTCGCTCTTGTCATTCTGGGGGCTTCAACCTTCCCACGCACTCGGTCCTGGAGGGAAGATTGCGATAAGTTATAACAAACTTACAGCCCGTGTTCAAATAAAATCAAACCTATATTTTACTATACCCATATTACCCAACCGAAGCAAACCGAGTATATATTCTTGGAAGTTGCATGTTTTGTAAACTTTGTGAACATGAGAGTATTCAATGATAAATTAAATCATTAAAACAGATCTTAAATCACTAAAAGTTATTGATATGTGATAAAATTAACCTGAACATCTTGGTGAAGAGTGAGGGCTTCATGTGTGATAACAGGGTAACTTTTAGCGAGGAGCTGCCGAGCCTGGGGCACAAACCCTGTGTAACCAGAAAGGAAATACTTCTGAAATGGTTATGTGATATTGAGTGTTAAAGTTATCAAACATTTTTTAATAATGTGATACTTATTTGAGAATAAAATGAGATAATGTAAGGGTAATGCGCGGCTTAGCGCGCATTGGAAAACGATATCGACATCAGACTTTTGACAACTAAAAAGCGATCGGCGAATCGGATAACAGCTTTGTAGTTATGAGTGAAAAGTCATTTCAGATGATGACCGTTTAACATGTCTCCAGTCTCATTAGAACATTATAGCCTGGACATACACTAAAAGTAAACCACAGACTTACTCTATTTTTAAAGTACTGTAAAAATCAATTCTTTCATAAATCTTCTTGTTTTAACAGATATCTGACGTTAAAACTATTAAACTAGCACATTGGACTGCGGTCTGAGGAGGCGTTAAAAAATACCGACAAGAATCCTCAATCTGAACAGCATTAGTAGTAGTGATGCTACTAGTTATCAACCTCCAATCTGGTGTTAAGACGCTGTAAATTCCACTGGAAAGCCGAAACAGCCTACTTGCCGCCGGATCATGATCAAAGCACCATCAGCAAATTCGAGTGCAATTAATTAGCGAACGTAGTGATTACTATTGGCATATTTTCGTGCTTACTATTAGGCTCTGCAGCAACTACTAGCATGGTAATAAAGTCTGCATCAATACCACTCTAAATACTAACAGGAGATGAAGTATACGAGAAGTGTGTGCTTGTTACAATACAGCAGCGGCTACTCTGCAAACACTATTTAAGTACTTGTACTATTAGTGGCTGAACTATCAGTAAACCATTAGTAAACAGTGACGCTAGACTATTTGCCAAACTCTGGACTGTAAAATCTCAATTATTGTTTTAGTAAACTTTCAGTTACTAACTATTGGTAACTCAAGTATAGGTGAACACGAGGTTTTACATTATTATATATTCTTGTTTCTGCTTGGTTTCCAGGACACCACTCACCAGTCACCTTTAGCTGAAACAAGTAGTGAATGGAGCTGACCCACAGGCCACATTCTTATCTAGAAGAAGTTCCCAACTAACAGCAGCACGTAGGAAGCATTTATTAGGAGAGTTTAATTTCTTTTGGAAAAAAGTGAATTTTTCCAGGATCTAGGCAACTAGAGAATTTAACCAGTTAAGTTCAATAATTTTATCTGATATAATTTAGTTGAAAACCTTGAATCAGAGCATTGAGGATGCTGGAAACAGTATTACAATATCCTACATCAAGAAACATCGGAGTACCTAGACTGTGCACTCTTTGCACACAAATAAAAAGGGAATACCACTATCTTAAAAAGGGAGGATCCTGGAAAACAACACTGTCCCCGGTACCTGCCTAGTCCCCCCCTCCCCGGTACCTGCCTAGCCCCCCCCCCCCCCCCCCCCCCCCCGGTACCTGCCTAGTTCAATAAAGCAGTTTTCTGTATGTTGTGTTGAGAGTTATCTTTATCTTTTTAACCGCTATAATTTAGAGGAGAATCTATCGAAGAGAAAGGGTACACGTTTTTTAGGATGAAGTGAATTATTTCTCTGATTTAATAGGAAATCAAGAACATTGCCCTGAGCCTGACAATCATATAAATTAATTTCTGGTTTTTTTTTTTAAACTTCATTTTAAAACTGTATTTTGTCAGGCGTCAACTAAATGACATTTCCTTTTGCAGAAACTTTCCTTGCGAAAATGTCGTCCGTGACAAGTGCAATATTCCATAGTAGTAAGTAACATGTTACCATAACAGTAAGTAACATGTTACCAATATAATGATGCGGTTGCATGACGTATACGACATACGTGACTTTAAATCCACCAAGTCACTATTCTTTGTCTCAAAACACAAGTTTCACGCTCGTGTGTGCATGTTATCCAATAAAACGTTTCGTTCTCATTTTCTGTGAATTCGTTTACCTATAGCAGTTGTTGTAAATATTATCAAATCGCTTCGTTTGATCTGATTTTTGTACAGAACTTCTTTGCAGAGTTTAGAAATTTCATATGCTCATTAACTATACATATTACATCTTTACATGTTCCTTTTCGAGAACATCACAAATTCGAAGAATAGAAAATTTGCTGAATGATAAAACATTATTCGTTTTTGTCTATTAAAATCCTAATTTGAATTTTGATATTTACAAGTCACTGTACAATATTCAAGGTAAAAGAGTAGTCAGAACTTCCACTAAAGTCATAGTTAAATTAATATAGTTCAAGCTAACTTCTTAGTTATTAACCTAACATAAGCACATTTTAAGCACAAAGCTATTCTAAATAGTACAAGGAACGCGTGTAATGGTAAGTATCCACTGTAGAATTTGTTTGTTATTTTAAAATTATACTTTTCTAACAAAACTTTAAAATCAGGCCAGCAGTGAGGTTTTAACACGATTATAGTTGCTAATCTGAGATATCTCACTAGAAATGGTGATATTACTTTATTAATAATCTCGAACAGTCACTACATTCCAGGGTAGTAAATACCTCCTAGTGTTAGCACTGCTGGCAGTGCACAGTGTAGTATCACAGAACACTGCAGAACAGGATGGCTTTAACCCGAGGATCTACTACGGAGACGATGCAGAGAAAGGGGAGTTTCCTTTCATGGTACGTGGAATATTCCGGAATGTTATATATATTATGATGTATTGTTTGGTGAAGAGAGGGAAAGAGGGCAGGGGTAAGGAGGGAACGAAAATAAAGGAATACTGGTGTAACCCGTGCCTACGGCTGGGACTTCACTATCGCAGCTGAAATCCAAAAGTATAATCCCGCCTATTATAGTCGAAAACTAGTGAGAGTGGGAGAGATGGAGAGTAAGTGAGACACTTTAGTATCAGATTTGGGTCACAAAATCGTCAATTAAACCACTTACCACCGACTGATTAAAAATCCTTAATCATTTGGCTTCGTCAGAGTTTTGTCGAAACTATATCGAAAAAACCTCTTACCGTTTTCTTAATTAAGCCGTTCGGAAATTTCCAACGAACCCACACACTTTTAGGATTGTTAGTATAGATACCGTAGAATAGAGGGAGGGTTCCTGAAACTAATAAACTCCTCTCCTCAGGTTAGACTGTCAGATGATTATGGACACTGGTGCGGAGGAGCCCTTATCAGTTCCCGTATAGTGATAACAGCTGGACACTGCCTCTTCTTAGACGGTGAACTGTTAACTGAGTTCCCAATTGTCACAGTTGGGGATCACAGTGGAAAGGATGAAGACATGGAACAGAGAATGGAGGTTATGAGGATAATCCCCCACCCGGACTACAGTGATAGGACCCTAGAGAACGATATAGGACTAGTAATACTGAAAGAGGCTGTACAGATAACAGAAACAGTTACCACAATATCCTTACCAGAAGATGAGAGGCTCTACAAGGAAGGATCTGCAGTGACAGTAATAGGATGGGGTGGAACTGAGGAGTCCTACGAGGCTGCTACCCTTCAGAAACACGTGTACGAGATATCTAACCAGGAGGAGTGTAAAAGCTTCTGGGAGTATACGATATACGAGGGTATGGTGTGCACCGGTAAACCTCCTCTGAAGGGCCACGCTTGGACAGGGGACTCAGGGGGACCATTGTTTACTCAAGATGCCAGTGGTAAGTTTGTTCTGCTGGCCTTGACAAGTTGGGGAACTGACGTAGCAACTCCTGATACTTACGATGTGAATACTGACGTGTCCTACTATATGGACTGGATTAAGGAGCAGAGTGGAGTGGGTTTAGATGAGTCGTTGAGTTTAGAGCTGCAGGGGGGTGTGAACCACGGGGTTGTTTTAGTTACAGACTACTCGGGGACCTCTACCATCTGCAACGATGGCATAGGACAGGATGAAGTCAGTGGTGTGTGCCGACATCTTGGATACAGCTACGGGATCCTCAAACACCTCACAGACTACCAAACTGGCAAAAAGAATACAATTGTACCTGAACTACCGGGATTTGGTAAAACCAATCTGAAATGTAGTTCTGAAGCTAAAGATGTCTCAGGGTGCACATTTAACAGCTACCCTGGAGAGGTGCCCTGCTTTGGAGGGCAGCAGCTAGCTGTGCAATGTGCTGGTATTAAGTGGAGATTCCAGATAACTGATATGGATTCCAAGATCACCATCACACCAGGCGGGGTAGCTAAAGGAAAGGTATCATGCAGGGTTGAGGCTGAGAAATATGATATGGGTATTAACTTACAGAAGGAAGTGGAAGTTGGCTTGATAAATGTAAAAGAAGATGGGGATGATTTAGAGTATATTGCTGATATGATGTACAAGAAGAAAATGGGCGTCTTCACGACAAAACTAAAACCAAAGGAGCAAGTTGAGCACGACTGTTTTGTATGTGTAGCAGTTTTAAAGCATGATGATGACTTCTTAGCTATTAAGGGGGAGGATAATTGCAATTTTGACGCGGAGTCTAACTCGTTTAGACAATCTCTCAGGTCCTTATTTCGGAAAGAGCGGAGCAATAGGAACTGATGTGAGCTTTCCCTGTTCAGTCAATGAGATAATACAATTATTCTGTCTGTTTTATTTGGTTATCATAACACACTTTTCAGTAAACCCCATTAGAACAAACTCTGTAGCCAATGTATTTATGGAAGAATGTTTTGTCTTTTGTGGCTATTTTTTATCGAGGATGTTGTGAGTTGTGGATATTTAAATTAGAATTTCAAATTTGATCTATTATAAAGTGTTTTATATTATTTTTAGCCATAAGAACTATCAAAAAATTTAAAGTTCTAAAATCAAAGATCTCCGGAATCCGTTAGAGAAGAACGTATTTCCAAACTCCAACACTCCAGAGTCCACTATTAATTAGAGGTCATAGAAGTTCGGGGAAGTGTGTGTCACAGAAAATAGACTTGAAAGTAAGTGGGGAATTCATAATTCAATATTTCCGTTCATTCGGCTGAGTTGACGCGGTACGAGAAATTGTTCCGGAGAATAGGGGTCAATTGCCAAATTAAATCTGAATCCCTAACAAGCGGGTTAAAGTTAAAGTTTAATTGTTTAACCGGATTTCTCCAGGCTTAAACGAATAAAGGCACTACTGAGAGGAAGTAAATTTATGGTGGGACCTTGCTTTGTTGTAAATTAGCTTTGTTGAGTTCCTTCGCAGAATCACATACGTAGATCTTTTACTTCTCCACTTCACTAGATACACATTATGCTTTTTTGTTGTTGCTGTGATTGCCTTTGGGATGACTGCTACTGCATAGAACGTTCTCTCGTAAACGTTGTTTTCTATCTAATTTGATTAAGCTATAAGCTAAACTGGAGACTCAAGATTGGAAAGGTCGAAATTTCTTTTGTTTTTTTTTAATTTTAAGAAACGGCGGATATTATCAAAATAATTTCTACGCTCACGAAAGTATAAATTGCACATTCGTCAAAACATCATCTTAATCTTGTAAAATTATAGCAACTTTGAACAAAGCTAGAAGACAAGCCGTCCCATGGTAAGATACAACTATCAATAACTTTATAAGATGAGTTGCATTTTAATTTCGAGTTGTCACCACTACTTTGATTACAGATAGATCAACCGAGATACGAATTCATCTTTTTGCCATCTTAATTCTTTAATAACGAAATATTTTATCGATTTTATTGAAAATTTCGGAGATGAACTGTGGGTGGGTAAGGTATGTGAACATGATTTTAAAGTTAAACTTCTTCGTCTAAATTTCAGGGAGTAATACATTTACTACTGGTTCTGGTGACCCTCCAGAACATTTATGCGCAGAGGGCGGACCTTGACAATGCAGACCACTTTGAGTCTAACTCGGACCTTGACAATTGGGGTTATGCCGACCAGAATGCCGACCAGAAAATATACAACGGAGATGACGCCGAACTCAACGAATTTCCTTTCATGGTATGTGTAACGTTAAAAGCTGTGACTTACAATATTAGAATGCGATGTCAGGGTGTGCAACTCTTTCACTTTCTTCCCTTCACTAACCACTAATCACTATCCAGATGCGGATTAATAACAGTTTCACTTTCCTTTTCAGATGTGGATTAATAACAGTTTCACTTTCCTTTTCAGGTGCGGATAGTGTCTGAATATGGGGACCACTGGTGCGGAGGAGCCCTGATAAAGTCCAGGGTGGTACTGACCGCAGCGCACTGTGTGGTACACAATGGCGAGGTGGCCAAGGGCATGAAAGTGGTGGTTGGAGATTGGAAGATTGATCAAGAAGAGGAAAATGAAAAAGAGTATGAGACGGTGAGAAGTGTTGTACACCCTGGATACATGCACGATGCTCGGTACGGTGGAGACATTGCTCTGATTGTGCTGAAAGAGGATGTCCAGTTAGGTGATGGTGTGAAGCTCATTTACCTGCCAGAGGACAGGAGCTTCTACGAAGCTGGAGCCCCTGTCACCGTCATAGGGTTCGGTGGAACTGAGAAGGGGTATATTAGTTACACTCTCCAGAAACACGAATCTGAGATATCTGACCAAGATGCGTGCAAGGACTACTGGGGGGCTGAACAAGTCACCTTATTGGAGGGGGCAGTGTGTACTGGGAAGCCTCCCCTGGAGAGCTTCGCTTGGCAGGGCGACTCAGGAGGCCCACTCTTTGCAAAAGATGCAGGCGGCCAGTTTGTTCTGGTTGCCTTGACTAGCTGGGGGGTTAATAAGCCAGATACTGATTCCTATGATGTTAACACTGATGTACACTTCTACAAAGATTGGATTGAAGAGAACACTGAAAAAGCTCTGGATTCAATGTGGATTGAACTTAAAGGAGGTCTATCCCACGGAGTTCTCCTATTCCATGACGGTCCAGAAGAGGTGTACACTGTGTGTAATCAAGGAGTTGGAAAACACGAGGTCGATGCGATCTGTCGACATCTGGGCTACTCATACGGTGTTCTAAAACACTCTGTAGAATACAAGAAAAAGCAAAGGAAGCAGAAGTCTGAACTACCTAAGTATGGTGTGACAAATTTAGAATGTTCTGCTGAAGCTAAGAATGTGTTTGATGGTTGCGATATAAATGAGTACCCAGGCGAAGCTACAGTGCCCTGTTTTGCAGGTCAAGAAGTGACTGTACAGTGTGCGGATTCTGAGTGGATATTTGCAGTGGATGTTATTGATACCAAGGTGAAGAGTGATGGTGACTACGTAAAAGGAAAGGTTGACTGTAAGGTAGATGCTAAGCTGTACGGCTCTCTCATAGATCTGAAGGAAGCAGTGCAAGTGTCCCTTCTCAATGTTATGGATGATGGTAGTGTGCAGGTTGTTGAGGAGAATATGAGGTACAGGAAGAGAGCACAGTCCTTTTTTGCTAAGCTGAAAGTCCAGGATGAAATAAAACATCACTGTTTTGTTTGTGTGGCTTCCATTCGGGAAAACGGTAAGTTCTTTGATGCAAAAGTGGAAGTGAAGGATTGCAAGATGGACTCTGCAGCAGCACTTAAAATCGTCAATGATAGAAAGAAAGCTGAAGAGTGACGTAATCATTGCAAGAAGTGACGTAATCACTGCAAGTAGTGACGTCATCATTGCAAGTAGTGACGTCATCACTGCAAGTAGTGACGTCATCATTGCAAGTAGTGACGTCATCATTGCAAGAAGTGACGTAATCACTGCAAGTAGTGACGTCATCATTGCAAGTAGTGACGTCATCACTGCAAGTAGTGACGTCATCATTGCAAGTAGTGACGTCATCATTGCAAGAAGTGACGTAATCACTGCAAGTAGTGACGTCATCATTGCAAGTAGTGACGTCATCATTGCAAGTAGTGACGTCATCACTGCAAGTAGTGACGTCATCATTGCAAGTAGTGACGTCATCATTGCAAGAAGTGACGTCATCACTGCAAGTAGTGACGTCATCATTGCAAGAAGTGACGTAATCACTGCAAGTAGTGACGTCATCATTACAAGTAGTGACGTCATCATTGCAAGTAGTGACGTCATCATCTCAAGACATTATTTCTTTAAAAAGACAAAGCATGTTTAAATTTTATGTTTACAAGAACTTCAACTTTGTAATGTGTAGTAAACTTCTATCAATGATTTTCTTTATAATTCACGGCAATAACGTAATTTTGATTTATTTGGTAACTGAATTTGGTGCTAATATTATATTCATCGTTATTGGTAATGTAGCCGAGCGGTGATCACTTCCAAATTTAAATTCGGAGGTAAAGGGTTCGGATCCCGGCGTCACCTAACCTAAGTACGCAGTTAATGATTCCGTTGGATCTATGTAACATCACTTGTAAATAAAAAACATCTGTGTAAATATCCCCTCGGATGAAACTACACCGAATGATCAGGAAAGCTGCGAAGCTCTTTTGCAAGTTCCAAAAATGTAATGCATATTAACAAAAAATCACGTACTGATCATCACTGCCCGTTCTCAATAATCAAGCATGAACTGGTGTGCAAGAGAGAAATTTATCATACTGAATAAAACTTTTAAAACAAAATTAATTCTCTTCGATGCAGTGTTCATCCAATCAGGAATCAGAAAAAGTGAAGATTTGCAAATCATGCCGATTTTATTGACCACATGTTAAGTTGAACGGTTTATCGTGCAAATGCAGCTAAACAACTGTAGCTAAAACTCAAGACATTGATTATGATAATATGCAGTGCATACCATTTTAAATTGTTTGATTTGATTAAAGGGCCGTTTAGCGTTGAGGCTACAAATCTGAAGTACTGTTTTTGAATTTGTTAGATGCATTAATATTTTTTCTGAAATTTAGATCTTTTTTATGTTCTAGAAACCCCCTCGCGACCGTCGCAGCCTTTATACCCCCTTTCCAATTTTTATTCAGACTCATCAGAAGTCGTTCGACAGGTCAATGGAAGATAAGAGGAAACCCGTGCACTAAATACTTTAATAGCCAGTTTTAAACGAGACGCAATTGATGCTGTAAATGAATGGGAAAAGTGAGCGACCGATTTCATTCTCGGTACCATTTTGCATTTGCAGACGGTCAATCAAATTAATCCCATTAATATCATTTCATTTTGTTTGGGAAAAAGAGACAATGGCAGTGGTCCACTCTACCCATGATTGATTATGGGTTTTGGTCAAATAAGCATTAAGCCATTTAGATGCTCCAAAGCATCCTTCGTATTGCGTTTTTGAACACTGAACACTGAACAAGTATTGCGTTGTTGAACAGTGAACACTGAACATACCAATTCGGTGATTCAATTTACCCGTTTTTTCGGCCCACATACAAGACCAAAATCACAGGAATGTGCTTGAAGGCACAAACTGTAATAACTTTGCGGCTGTCTCATCGCAGTTCATCGAGTCAGCTAGAGATTATCTTAGCCCCTGACAGGAGAATATCAGATTAACATATCTACCTGAGATACCCTGGTCCCAGAAATCACATACAGAGTGCCGGCAAGGGTACTAATAACCTTCCCGCACGTCAGAGAGAGAGAGAGAGAGAGAGAGAGAGAGAGAGAGAGAGAGAGAGAGAGAGAGAGAGAGAGAGAGAGAGAGAGAGAGAGAGAGAGAGAGAGAGAGAGAGAGAGAGAGAGAGAGAGAGAGAGAGAGAGAGAGAGAGAGAGAGAGAGAGAGAGAGAGAGAGAGAGAGAGAGAGAGAGAGAGAGAGAGAGAGAGAGAGAGAGAGAGAGAGAGAGAGAGAGAGAGAGAGAGAGAGAGAGAGAGAGAGAGAGAGAGAGAGAGAGAGAGAGAGAGAGAGAGAGAGAGAGAGACAGAGAGAGAGAGAGAGAGAGAGAGACAGAGAGAGACAGACAGAGAGAGAGACAGACAGACAGAGAGAGAGCTTAATTTGCTGAAGGAAACCGAATTCAACTGTGGGACGGAACATTTTTAAGTAATTACTGATTGGGCTATTATTGTATTCCTTGATAGTCATAGATCGCTTTGGGATAGGTGTATTTTGTATAGAGTTTTTATGGTAGACTAAATTTGTCGTTCTTAAGGTATGTCATGTGATCCAAAGTTACAAAATGTTTTCACCTTCAGCTGTTGATTTAATTAAAACAAATCGTTATTCTCATAGTGGGCTTCACCACAAATCTAACCAAAATGCTGCTTCATTTTTCAATTTACTAGTATTCTCAGATTTTAACTCAGGCCCATAAAACTTAACTTACCTAAATATATAACTCACCAATATCTCTCACCAATATCTCTCAGGAAGGCTCGCTGAATATCCATCCTCACAAAATGGTAAAGATTCTTATTAATTATTTTAACTGAGACCTTTTTAGCTCAAACCTTATAAACCATTGTTCTCGTCAAACCTTATACACTATGAACAATATTTTCCGCAGAATGAAATTATACGATTCTAATCGAGGAGCCGACTGGAAACCATAGGAAGCAGGGATTACGCGGGGACACGTTCCAACAAAGGATTCGAAAAGATGCCGGAGTTTGGGCTCACAAAAGTGGACTGCACTGATTTTGCAGTCCAGTTTTCAGATTGTTCTGCCCAATCCTACCCGGAAGAGGCAGAAGTTCCCTGTTTCCACGGACAAGAAATAGCAGTACATTTTTTTTAGAGAGGCTGGGCCTAGTTGGCCCACGAGAGGATAGCATATGAATGCTTTGCCTACCTCTGGGGTATGGCAGTCCTGTGGGAGGATGCCAGTGGAATCAAGATGTGTAATCAAGGATGATGGTAAGTGTTGTGGGGTGTGTCATAGATAAACGCTTAAGTGGTGGTTGAGTGTGGAAGAGAGAGGCGAAATGAGACGGCGTTAAAGTAGTCGCTATGTTACACCTGTCTGGTCCAACTCCTCTGGCACCACTAGGCGTTTAATAGCAGTACAGTGTTTCAGCTCGGAGTGGGAATTTGAGTTTACTCATATGCAGACCAAGAGCAAGACAGGAGACAGGGGCAAGGCCAGGGGCGGACTAACCGCTCACAAATACGGAGTGGAAATAAACGTGAAGAAAGAGGTGACAGGTATGTTGGTGAACATCAAGGAGAACGATGTTGAGTTGGTACAGTATATGAAGTACAAGAAAAAGAAGGGCACCTTCGTCTCCAGTTTCAGGGACCTAGATCACAGCTGTCTAGCTTGTGTAGCAGTCATTAACGGTGCTGAGGACCAGTTTCACATCTACATGCTGGAAGATGAGAGCACTTGTAAATTAGATCCGGCTGCTGCAGGGACAACACTCAGGGCGTTTATAGAAAACGGAGGTCCTGATCCTAAGCTGCAGAGACAACACTCAGGGCGTTTATAGAAAACGGGGGTCCTGATCCTAACGAAGGTGAAGACGATAAATGAGCTGGAAATTGAAGCTTGGACAAATTAATTACGGTTGAAGGAAACACGAACTGAACATTCTTACGGTGAATTAGCGAACAATTTTGTAGATCTAAATACGTAAGAGAGAAAAATCTAATTTAAACTATTTTCACTTTTGGAAGGCTCTTTTATCATTAATATTTTAAAGAAGTGATAGTTACACACTTAGTTTTAGTACAATTCAAAAAATATTATTGCTCACTACTGCAGTCATGATGCAAAAACATGCACTGAATTTGGTGGATCCAATCCCGTGGAAATGTGCCCATTAGAATATAGCCTCTCCAGAAAAGCCACACAACCTCTCACTGAGGCTATCTTAAACCAGAAACTCACGCTCTCCCCTGAGGAAACACATGAAATGAACCAAAAGATCAAACATGCGAAAAATGGTATTTCTAGTGAGAAAACCCTCTACAATAAGTACAAGTTGGCCTCTATTAAAGCAAAATGTACTGACGACATCAGCAGAAACCTGGACATTCTCTGCCAGAAAGGAGCATCGTCATGGCTTACCGCTTTACCGCTGGAGGAATTCCACTATAAGTATACGTTATAAAAGCAGGAATTTACCGACGCCGTCCAGATGAGATATAAACACCCAATCAGAGACAGACCGCAGATATGTGCATGCTCTAAAGCGAACACCATAGACCATGCACTATCCTGTGCTATGGGAGGTTACAGGGATATGCGGCACAGCCAGATCCGCGACCTAGAAGCCAGTCTCCTGGAAGAGGTATGCAAAGACGTTCGGACAGAACCAAAATTGCTACCTCTTACAGGAGAAACCTTCAAACTCAAGACGACTAACACCCGACCAGATGCAAGGCTGGACATCACGGCAAGGGGGGTCTGGAACACCGTGGACAAGACGTATTTCGACGTTCGAGTCTTTCATGACGGGAATAAAAGCAACAGTGGGCCCATTGACAAAGTGTTTCAGAAACACGAGGCTGAAAAGAAACGAACATATAACAGCCGGGTCCTGGAAGTGGAGAAAAGCACATTTCTACCCCTCGTTTTCTCCACTAGCGGAAGCATGGGGAAAGAGGCTGAAGCTTTCCATAAGAGAATCGCAACACTCATATCAAACAAAAGGGGAACACCCTATAGTGATACGATTTCTCACATACGCCGAAAACTCCGCTTCTCAATCCTCCGCACAAACCTCGCCGCCATCCGAGGACACAGAGGAAGAGCAGTCCAATGGTGCGACAACACGGACAGCGACATCAACCTCATACCAGGATGGACTAGTAATATGTGTTGATATTATGTTTATATTTTCAAATTGTATTGTATATAATAATTTTACACTTTGACCGTTGGGAGCGGTACCTATAAAAAAAAGAATTTGGTGGAAACTGAACATTTTAGTCTGAATCGAAATCTATAGATGAAATGTAACATTTGTGTATTATTATTTTATAAAACAAGTAATTGAATGTATTATAACTTTTTAGTTTAATAATTCTAAACTTCTTGCCTAGAATAATTCATTTTTAAAAGCTATCAGAAGACCTCTCATCGGCGTCTCTTAGTAACCTAGTAACCTAGTAAATAAGTAACCTAGTTACCTCAAGCTGATACTAACCAATAGCATTGCGTTCCTATTTCTCATTCCGCCGATCAATATTTTCTAATGGCGTTACAAATAAGCAGGGGGGGGGGGGGTTGTTACGCCGTACAGGAGATGCTGGGATGAATGACCTGCTGGTCGAGTAGACCTAAATGAACTGGGACAGCAGCTTTCATTAGAATTGCTAAATCTAGAAAAGGCGATAATCTGTTCAACACCATCAAGTCTAAGTGGATATTGAGATGTTACAGATTAGAGTTTAAATAACTAACAAATTTAATAATTAAAAAGAATGTGTTATTGAAGAGGACATGATGAAGATAATTTGAATATTTTCCCTGCACTCGCCAAATCTTAACGACGCTCATTGCTGCTATTCTGTATTTGTTTACATGTTGATATCAGCAATATAAAAACAATGGAATTTATTCGTCCTACTCCGTCCAAAGTGTACGTTTTAGCACCCCGCATCAGATCATACTTTATTTATGGTCTCGAATTTCTCGTTGCCAAAGGAACAGTAATTAATAATATTATGGGCTTACGAGCATTGCATCAGTGGCTGTAATGTTGCTATGGAGACAAATACAAACTTTTCAGAGAGGGACATATGCAACATGCGATATGTTATTATAAAAATTATCTCACTTAAAATAACCTTCTTAAAATCATCGCCAGCTTTACACTCACACCACAAATACTAATTATAATAACTATAATTAGTTAATTATAACAACAGATAACAACAATTGGATTAAAGAAAAGGCTGTGAATACAACTTGCTACAGAACGTATGCTGGGAGTTTAAGTCAGAAATTTAAACAGCTACTGAGCCATGGTTACTAAACTGAGTTACTAAGTATAAGTTACTAGGTTACTAAGTAACAAACCTCGTCGTGGTTGTTAGGTAGCCGGTAAGGTGAGGTCCCGTACTGGAAGTCACGTGGTTTGGCAGGGTACGCGTTAGCTTTACTAACCGGAGTCAGCGGTCTTCTCGGTACCATCTGTAAAATAGGGGGCCTTTTTGTTAGTCATTCACTCAAGGGTAAAAGGATACGTTTCATTTTCAATATCTCAATTAGTGGATACTCAGTTTAGCTATAGTTATTGTAAACTCATCGTTACTAAATAACTTTTACTCAGTGTAATTATACAACTCTAGACTCATTGTAGATAACTCACTTTCAGTGTCTCTTCACTCTTCTCTTTCACGATGAGATCAGCTTCGAAAGACTTGAGCGCATTGTCGCATGCCTGTGCGTAGCGCTGCCCGAAGAAATGCTGTCCTTTCGGCACGTAGCCTGGGATATCGGACACTGTACTTTATAACTAAATCTCAAAGTTGACACTGTACTTAATAACTAAATCTCAAAGTTGAGCGCAGTTAAAATTCATAAAATGGTAGTAATCTATAAAATATAATGTATTTTTTTAAATTAATCGACTCTACTAATTGACTAATTAACTAATTGGTAAATGACACTAACCAGTGTAACCTGGTACCATGCTCCCCTTAAGTTTAGTGTTGCTCCAACCCTCCTGAGACGCTGGCTTACTCCTTGCTAACGGCTCCTGGAACTTTACCTCCTTTATTACACGGTACGGCATCTGCTGGGAGAGGAGAGACTGGTTACTCAGTTATCTGGTATTGTACCACAAGTATTTAGAAATTAAGAGTCATTGCTATGTTTTTAAATCTTCAATTAATCGCCTTGTATATTTCCAAAGTTATAACGTTTTAATTAGTTGAAATTTCAAAAGACTGAGACAGTTAAGTACTATTAACTGGATGGTAGTAACTACATATTACATGAACCACTATTATTTCTAGATCAGTCCACAGTCAACAGTGTGTTTAAATCATGATTTAGCCAAAAAGAGTATTTTTTAATTCTACATAAAATGTGTCAAATAATCAAAATAACAACAAGCAACTAAGAAAAAAGAAAAACCACACTCGGCTCCTAACAGTGACTAAGTTTACTTGTTAAGGTAGTGCTTGATATTGTGTTGTCATCTGAGTACTTATCTTCAGTACTTGGGGCTATTTAGCAGTTGTAGTTAGATCAGGTGGCTCTCTGGACTTAGATTTTAAAATATGCTTATTTCAATTTATCAAAAAGTATGCTTATTCTACTAGATCAAAAGTATGCTTCTATTCAGTAATACTCTCTCATATTATTGCAGATTTTCAATGGACAATGAAAGCATAGAAATACCCTGAAATCTTGTATTGAATGAAAGAGTAAAATAATTATTCCATACAGTAATATTGGTATGATTGTGTTGATAACAATATAATGTGAACCTGTTATCTGTATTTAACCTAGTATCCTTCCCAGCAACAATTATAAACAAGACTTGTTCAACTAAGTATGTTCCATCCCCATCTCCCTCCCCTCCCCTCGCTAAACCCTGTACCCTCCCCTCCCCTCCCTTCCCCTCCCCTCCCCTCCCCTCCCCTCCCTCCCCTCCCTCCCCTCCCTCCCCTCCCTCCCCTCCCTCCCCTCCCTCCCCTCCCTCCCCTCCCTCCCCTCTCTCCCCCTTCCTAAACCCCGTACCCTCCCCACTCCCCAGATTAGTATAACAGTATGACAGTATAACAGTATTAACAGTATATAACCTTGCTCTGAAGATAGTCGGAGGTGTCCAGGATAGAATGTGTAGTTTGTCCATATGTTCCTCCGATCTTAAATTTAAACTGGGGAACATACCCCAAATACCTGCAATGTATTGATATCATACAAAACGACAGCAGAAATTATAAAATAAAAATTAATTAATATTCAAATTAACATCATATCTCATTGTAAAACTGCTCGTCTTAATATAAGACTGCACAGTGCACGTATATAAGATACTAAGTTACTAGGTTTAAACGTAACATAGGTTAATTAGTCACTAAGTCACTTATTCATAATGTTCCTGTGTTACTAGGTTACTAAATTACTAGGTTACTAAATTACTAGGTTAATAGGTTACTAAGTGACCTAGTACATACCCTGGTAAATGGTAAGGTGCCGGAGTTACTAACGTGCTTTGTACCATCCCTGTAATGAAGATAGCTCATGTTAGAGTAAGTTCTTAAAACAAAACTCTCGGAATAAGTGAAATCAGGTGAAATCAGGTAAAATCAGGTGAAATCAGGTTTTTCTGGAACCGGAGCCTATCCTTGTTAGATTGTTACAAGTTTTATGGGTATTGATTTTATCCTGAGTTTGCAAGAAGAATAGAAGATGGAGAGGCAGAATATTTATAATCTTACTATTGTTAAATATAACTAACTTTGACCTCTCTTAAGAGGATCGCAAATACTTCTTTTCTTTTTTATCATTTCTATTTTATAAGTTAGTAATTTACAGCAATTAAATCTAAAAATGTTCCCACTCCCAATAATTGGAATGACGTCATGTAGATCTGATCCAAAGGACAATAACATCTTGAAAATTAAACGGATTTTCCAATCTATATTATATAGAGCTGTCTTTGTACTGTGCACAACAGCAAGACAGTGACGCTTCCAATACCATACACATAGAAGCTGCATCGTGTACCGGACAATAAAATACTGTATTCCATGCAGTGGTGTTTTGTTCAGCAATTAATTCTCAGTCAGATACTTTACAGCCGGCTGTACAATGCTGCTGTTCTTTCCATTCATTGTGGTTGGGCAAATTTACTGTTGAATCATTTTGCAATTTATTTGTGCATCAGAATCGCTGTTAATTTATATTTTGATTTTGCCTTGTGATCCTGGCTACGTGCCTGCTTGTGTGTTTGTTAAAGTGTGTAATGTTGATGTACCTATGGACATTTATAAATGTATAAATACTTTTATTAAGATATTTAATACCCGTAGACTAACGATTGTTCTGCCTTTGAAGGTTACAAAATCCAGGGCCGAATTTTCTCACATAGTAATTGGATCGTGGAATCCTCTCCTGGAACACTGGCTTACAGGAGAACTAGAAATGTGACCTTTAGTCTTGGAAACGTTCCAAATTGATTGATTTCTTTAATATCACCTTTTTCGGATTAGTTTGTTGATCACACAATGCAAAGCATGCTCATTACTAAAACTTGGACCCAGCGAGGAACAGTGAATACGAACATGCCTACATAGTTGATAACCTCTCTTGTTGGGGACAATTATGTCAACTGTTTGTCAGTATTTAAATATAAGCCACGAAATGAGGCACTTACTTGGTGAAGTATTGTGTAGGCTGCCTCAATCAAATACAACCCCAAAATAGGGGTTCTATTGATTTAAATAGAAATCCATTCGACAGATGGGATCATGATAGCATCTTTAAACCTTAGTTTTTACTGTTGAGGCAAGCATTGAAGATCATCATTGTCGTTTGTCACAATTTGAACGATTTTGGCCTATCCATTTCTGTAGATATTCTTCTCATATCTTTGATGTAGTTTATGGTATAAAATATGGCTACCGTAAAGATGATGTCTTTGTGACTTTCTAAAATTACGTTAACTCTTTTTATAATGAATCCATAATCCATTGTTTACACTTCAGGCTTACTTCACAATTTGTTGTGTGCTGACAAATCGATAAATCTTACTTTAAATGTAATTGCATATTTTTACTGCATTTTGTAACACCCAAACGATGTTTCAGGATACTGATGGTCAATAACTTGTTCATTTTGTCGCTTCCAGATGTTCTGAAAAATGAAACAGATTCAAGAATAGACGAAAATTTTGTGTTATACAATGCATCAGATTTCCAGACGTTTAGTACGACTAAACTTGTTCTACCGTTGGTTTTAGTTTTTCTTCAATGTGTAGTGCTAGCCATTATCTGTTTTAAGAACCTGCAAGAGGAAGAGATGGATCGTGAAGAGTCTGTACAACAGAAGATGTTGGATGCAAGTCTCCTCAGTGGACTTAATCTTTTAGAGGTGGGACTTAATTATGGAACCTTTTCCAATGATGAGACAGACTCTTAATCATCAAGTACTCCTTAGTCATCCTCGGTCTTTATTTATCATCAAGTACTTTTTTGGATAATCAGCTTGCTGCGGATATTCAGCTCATCAAAGATCACCATTCAAAGAAATGAATACCCTACACTTTGGATGAGTCTAAGGAATACAAAATTTCATACTGTTGAACTAGGAGTATTGAATCAATAATGAATGCTGGGTAGAACAAGATCAATGATTTTCGCTAGACAAGCTTAGGGCAAACTGATTTATGCAAGTATGTACATAGAATGTTAAACTTACTGGAAATTGTCAGATTTTGAAAGTCAATCTCGATACTAAACGTCAATTTTTTATATGTTTTTTTCCGGAATTTTCGTAAATGTTTCTGAAAATTGATTTTTATTTGCTCCCTATCATCAATCTATATTGTCGAATTTATGATCAACAATGATGAAAACTGTGACTTCACTATATTTGATATGATTTATTACACAATCTCTGTTGATAACGTTTTGATGATCAAATTGATTTCAACATTTAGAGGAAACCACTTTGGAGGTCCCCGTTCATACACAATAGACATGGTCATTGATCTGAGGAATAATATAATAGTATGCTTCCAAGTGTGAATGATTGGAGGTTTTGTCCAGTTTATTTGTCATGTTTGCCAGTTGATGTTCATTATGTTGTCGTCTGAGCCAATGAAACCAATCCAGACAACTGTTTGTTTTGTTCTTCCAAGTACAAGCACACAAAGATGCATAGTTAGATAGTTTATGTTTATTAGCTAACAAATTTTCTTCGCAATGTTGAGAGCCTGTTTCGGTGTGTGCTGATGTAACCAGTGGTGAAACGACATTAGAAAAATTTTAGGAGGAGCAAAAAAGTCAAGCAGGGGCGGCACACAGGTACGTTTCGCTACTGGATGTAGCTTTAAAAATAGAGGTATGTTGTTCAGATCTTCAAAGACAGATGCAGATGCCAGTGCCGACAACAAAGTTACAGATACTTTCGTAAATACAGTCAGTAATATATAGAATCACTTCTTGAGCCTTCTTCATGAATACAATACATTGCTGATAATTTTGCCCCCTTGAGAGTAAGATTGTACATGACGTGCTTATATATATGTGTAGGTATATCAGAGATCAACCGTGATCCTTGATTCACGATGTCAATCCTTCGCATCTCGCCGATCTGTGGTTGCGAGAAGCATTATTGGATGCGCGCGCGCGACCCAGTAGTGCATCGCGCTACAACCGTGATCCCGGTACTGGGGCCCGGTTACTGGGCCGCGCTCAGCCTGTCATTCCGCCTAATCTCTATTTGTTAATGAACATAATAGCCTGGGGACTGGGGTCCCCAGGTAAGGGCCCGGCCGTAGCCGGGACTGGACTTTTACCAAATCTCAGTCACAGCCAAAATACCAATTTTGAACAAGATTTTGACCGGGATTTTAGGTACAATTTTTATCAAGATTTTGGGGAAAATTTGCAGCGTGACGGGAAAAATTTTTAAAAATCATATCAATTGTTTGTATCACGTTGCGACCCCCACGGTCGTTTCACTATGTGGAACGACCCCTTTATCGTTCTGACCCCTTTATCGTTCTGACGATACAGGGGAAGCCGCGCACTTCGTGCGCGGCGGGTCATACAACGTATGACAATCAATTGTTATATGAAACTCAACAAATTTGTGATCTTAAACAAATTGTCATCTTAAACATGGATCATTTCCGCACTAATAGTTGATTCCGCTAAATTTGGTGTCCAAATTTGATACCAGCTAATTTCAAATTGGGATCAAAAAATTCCGATCCTGGTCCCGGTCAAAATTTACCAATCCTGGTACCGGACCCAGCCATTTCAAAATTTTTATCCCGGTCATTTGCTGGCGCTTATGACAGCTTTCTTTGGTTACTCTGTCAAGAAAAACATCCTTGAACATATTATGAAAGCTTGGGAATAATTCATCTCATTGAGATAGTGTTACATAAATTTTATGGCCAATAAAGAGTTTGCTTGCCAAATAGTGAAACAAATTTTAGTGAAACAAATTTAAAATTTTATCCTTTATTTCACAATCATAATATAATAATATTTATAATGTATAAGCCTCCGTTTTGAAAGTTTTAAATTTTAATATATATTCACATTTCTATTTAAAATTCAATTTTATGTATAAGTCAATAACTGGCCGCCAAAGCCGCGCATTCTTGAAAACACGATTAACTTGATTATAGTTATATGACAACGTTGATTCACGATGTCAATCCTTCGCATCTCGCCGATCTGTGGTTGCGAGAAGCATTATTTGATGCGCGCGCGACCCAGTAGTGCATCGCGCTACAAGACGAGTAACATCCGTCAACAACTCGCTTGATAACTTTGTTATTTCTAATCCATTTCACATCATTTTTCAGATCAGATGCAAAATATAATAATCTACCGTCTCAAAAAAATTAGGTGTCCAACATGTTCAGAGAAAACAATATAAGTGTTTTACTATTGAATGGGCGTGGTCTAAAATATTCGAATTTTCAAATTTTGGCGACGGAATCCTCGAACCTGTAGGTACAGTATGCCATTTGAAAAGCAACAACTCTCAAATATAAAAGCCGGCAGAGGTATAAGACCCAACGTATGTGCACTGACTTTTGGCTTGTAGCGCGATGATATATGCGTTACTGTGCCGCGCCGCGCACTCAATGAGGCTTCTCACAGCTCTAATGTCTAAATCGGCGAGATGCGCTACTGTGCCGCGCCGAGCTGAGATGAATTGACATCGTCAATTAAACTTTTGGCCCACCCTGTATGTTTTTGTTATACGTTGATAAAGTGAAACGACCGTGGGGGTCGCAACGTGATACAAGTATGTTTAATATCTTATGTTCCAGTAGATGTCAGAGAACGTTTTATTTTTCGATCGCTGTAATTACACCCAGCAAGAATCGACCATTTAGATTCAATCACTTTCAAGTCTATTATGTCTCCACTCAGTCAAGATACAAAGGACATAATTAACAAAAATAATAATAGACTAGTGTAACTTTGATTTGATTTGAATTAGTTTCTAGTGATTACGTGTAAAAAGTGTGTCAAA